CCCAGTACTAAGAGGTGAGATAACCCAGTGTCAGTAAAGAATCTGTAATTTTTTTTTTCCATATCTGTTGCCTTGTACAACAGCATACCCCTTGTAAGTGGAGATAAACCATCAGGTGAATGAGCCTGCTTTTCTGTACTGCATTTATCTTATCAGTATACAGCATCTGACATGCATATATGATCTACATTCCTTTGAAAAAATGTCTGGGGGAAAAAAGGCTTTTAGATAAGTACATAGGAAACTAATACCAAATTATACAAAAGATTAACAAGCACAGCTCCCTACTACATCAGGGCTTTTTAAAATTATTGTTTTTTAAAATTCTGATTTTAAGATAATGAATAAAGGAAGAGACTATCCACATTCATTACACCAAAAAAGATCAAGTAACAGAAATTACAGAGAAAGCTGCTATTTTCTTATAGGTTTTCAACAAATCCAAAACCTGACATGAGATTTCGGGCTTATATTCGTATTCTTCTTGTATTATCTTCTCAAGGACAGCCTGGGTTAACATCATGAAGTCAGTGAGGCTACGTCAACACCAAACTGGAGCAAATTAAAAGTAAGGTTGCTCTATGCACATGGGCTCAAAGCAATTTGCGTAGCCACCCCTTTATTATCTGATCTAACAATTAGGTCAAATCCTGCAGCTATTGTTTCATCTTTATCCGATGAATTTTCCAGTGAGTTTAACTCTACTCTTGGTTACACAGGCTCAGGCCTCATTCATCCTTTTAACAGGAATTTTGCCCTGTTAGGTTTTATCTGTTCAACATTTTTTTCAGCCAAAGATAAAGCTACATAAACCCCCTCCTTCCTCTCTCCACAAAAGTAACATTTTTTTTAATTGAGCAGAAAAAATAGTATCAACGCATATTAGTGACTCCGTGTGCTCCCAATAGGATGTGCCTAGAATAAATAAGAAATGTGTGAATAAATAGGAAATGCATTTTAGCACTTTCATAGGCCAACATCTCAGAAAAGTAAATCTTCCCAGCTCCACCGAGACATACACTAGGTGTCCCTACTTTGTTGATTATTGAGATATCTGGAATGGCAAAGTGAAAATTAATCCCACCAAATCTGATAGTTCAAGAGGACGAAATGCTCAGCTCTGTTCTCATGGGGAGGCCAATGCCTCAGGAAGAGGAATTCTGTGAATTAGGAAAAAAGCTGAGAATAACAATGTGTCTACCACCTATTGTTTCTCCCCTTTTCAGAAGCAGCCTGCACAGAAGGGAGTGATTTCCTAGCACACCCGTGGTCCAGGAGCGCAACGGTGAGACACCATTAAACGCCTTGAACACTTAGAGAAGCCAGGATGTTAGCTTTAGACTCAGACTCATTTCCTGTTTATACTGCTAGCATGGGCAGCCTTTGAAAACCAGCAGCATCTTCACTCCATATTTATAGATTACTCCCTTCCTGAATAACTGAAGCTCTTGGCCGGAGCGATGCTGCAATTGATTTTCACAGAGAACTTTCATTGACTGGGTTGTTATGTACTTTCTGACACATGCCTGACCCTGCTTTAAACAAACACAAGACTCTTTTTCCAGCACGCACATTTTTCACACTTTCAAATTACTTTTCAGTTAATTCTATTACACGCTCAGTGAACAGAGATGTTGCATGCTATTTTTTTCGTTTGTTTGTTTTAATGGAGTGCAGCCCCAGCCCTCGAGAGGACACAATAATTCCAGGATAAGACTGGTGGGCATAAGGGAGAAAAGAGAGAAAGAGAAGGAGAAAAGGAAGAGAAGGAGAAAAAGGAGGAGGAGGCAGAGAGGAAGAGGGAGAGGGGGAAGGAGAGAAGTTCTTAATGTGCTAGTTCTGGTTAATTGTGGTACAGATGTACCTGCCGAGACAAAACCACCAGGTTCAGGTAATAACATAAATAATAAGATAACTTAAGCAGAGCACTTTACCTGCTTCATTTACCCTTCCCCTTTCCCAAAGGTGTCAGTGCTCAGGTTTTGTACCAATTAAAAGTGGAGACTGCACTCGGGACAAACATGCAGCTACAGCTGCAGACAGATCTGCAGAGATGGACTCTTCTGCCCCTCTTAATTTTTGGACATCCTTGATTTTCTGTATTAATAAATACTGCATAGATCCTACCTTGCATCCCAGTCTCGTGGCACATTGTGTAAACATCAGAAGACTTACTACCTGTGTTTAAAGTTTATTAGGAAACAACTATTATCTTGCCAGTACAGACTCAGTCCTCTGAAGTCAAGGCTGTGAATACAGACAAGGATTGCTATATCTGAGCCCACAGTTCAAAACAGTGATCTTATAGACCCAATGGCATCACAAAGTAAGGCATACACCCCACAGCATATGTCTGAGTTCCTAAAAAAAATAGTCCTGTGTTACATGAGAAATTCATAGAAAACTATGAAATTGTAAATGGACAGCTGTGCAGAGAAGGTGCTGTTGCTGCTGCTTCACAATCTGCAGTTTAAAGGTCCAACACTTCAACCCTTGATCTCACAGAGTCTAAGTGAATTGCCTGTGCTACAGCTGCCCATGCAGCCTCAATTCAGGAACAAGAGGTTAAGAAGACTTCAGTAAAGTACAAAGCCCCATTTGAGTTACAGGTGCATAAAACTCCCTGGAATATAGTTAATTAGACTGTGCTAGAAAACTCTAGAAAAATCACCAAACTGATTGTTCCTCTCTCTCCAAAATGTGGTGAGAAAAAGAAGCAAACTCTATATTATGAGCACCTTCAGTAGAAATTTGGACACCTGGGAAGAAATGTCAATTGATAAAAAATAACTTGCATGCACATACAATGATTATGTGTTATACAGAAATTAAGCGGACAGGTATGGCAGTACACAGAAGTTACTTAACCAACAAATGAAATACACTCAGCCTTCCAAACTGTGTTAACTTAGTGGTCATCTGTCAGGGCTAACTGGCAGGACATGCAAATCTATTCAAGGAGTTAGGAGTCATAATCTAAAAAAACCTGTTCAAACATTGCTAAACCACTCTGAAGTGCTGACTGCTTAGAGGAAAAAAAAAACTAAAAATGTTCTCTTTTGTTTCACTTCAGAGAAAGAAAATCCTCCAAGTCTCAGAAAGTTTCCTGCCATGGGAAAGCACTATACACATATGCAATGGTGTTTCTGATTTTGCAGGAAGACTGTCTGTGCAATAATTTCAATTCTCCCTAATCCTGGGGAAATTCTTCCCTGAGGCTAGTCCTGTACTCAAAAGCAGAGGTCCTCTAATTCCAGTCAGTTAATTGGACTAAAAGCATTCAAAAAAGTGCATTTAAACTGAACCTCTGAGATTTGTATCTGGATGTTTACACAGACGTTAACTCTTCTTCAAGGATTTAACCACATAATACTTTTTCAAGAACAAAAGGAGAATCAAGCTCTAAATGGAGAGCTTTAAATGACAGAGAGTCCTTCCTCTTACTGTGCCTGTGAAAAGCTTTATTTGGCTGGAAGAATTATCTTTTATAAATTATTAAGCACAGTGCAGGAAATCTAAGTATGCTGCAAACCCAGCTTCTAACGACCTTTTCTCACAAAATGTGTTTTTGCTGAAGTGAAAACAGTGGAAGAGATACAATTCCGGATGATATATTTTGTTCCCATTATACACAACAGGATTTCATCATGTGAAAGAGAAATGGGATTCCCCAGTGTGACTACTCTATTACAAAGAAAAGCACCTCTTTGAAAATTAATGAACATTAAATATTTGTACAGTCAAATGAAGATCTGTTTTCAGGGAACCGGTTGCCCTGTGTTCTTGGGATCTAAGCTGGGAACGGTTCAAAATAAATACTGAGGTTAGTAGCCATGAATAACAATGAAGAAATATTAGGGCTGAGATGACCACTTTCAATCTCGTATTACTGATCTGATTATGTGATATGCTAAACACACACTTTTTTCTTTGTTAAGGAACAGAAGCTTTATTATATGATTGCAGAGATAGATATTATCAGCTGTGCAGAAAGGGACCTGAGGGTCCTGGTGGATACCAAGCTGACTGTGAGTCAGCAACGTGCCCTTGAGGCAAAGCAGGTGAATGGGCTGCATCAGAGAAAAAGTATTGCCAGCTGGTGGAGGGATGGGATCCTTCCCCTCTGCTCTGCGCTGGTGAGGCCACATCTGGAGTGCCGGGACCAGTTCTGGGTTCCCCAGTTCAAGAGAGACATGGACATACTGGAGAGAGTCCAGCAAAGGGCCACAAAGATGATTAGCGGCCTGGAGCATCTCTCCTATGAGGAAAGGTTGAGAGAGTGGGGACTGCTCGGCCTGGAGAAGGGAAGGCTCAGGGGGATCTCATCCATGTGTACAAATACCCAGAGGGAGGGTGCAAAGAGGACAGGGCCAGGCTCTTTTCAGTGGTGCCCGGTGATGGGACCAGTGCCAGTGAGCACAAACTGAAACACAGGAGGTTCCCTCTGAACATCAGGGAACACTTTTTCACTGTGAGGGTGACCGAGCACCAGCACAGGTTGTCCAGAGAGGTGGTGGGATCTCCCTCCTTGGAGATACTAAGAAGCCATCTGGACATGGGCCTGGGCAAGCAGCTCTAGGTGGCCCTGCTTGAGCATTGGGCTGGGACCAGATAACCCCCAGAGGTCCCTTCCAGCTTCAACCATTCTGTGATTCTGTGAAAGGAACAGTTGTCACCTCATTTCATAGCTTCCTTTGTTAATATTCCTACTCATTAGCTTCAGGCACTTTTCTTGAGACATATTATTGCTGTACTCAAGAAATATTGTTTTTGATGTTTCCCCCCCCATACAAGTGAGAAGAATGAGATCTTGCTCTTAAGAACAGTATAAACTAAAATTCTTACAAATGTTTCTGAAGTCCTTAATTTTAGTATGCATTAATAACCGCAGAAAACACAAAGCCTAACTGGTCAGAAACAAAATCTCTCTCCCAAATAGCAGACTCCGCTTTTCCTCACCCAAACACCATTGACTCTACACGCAGAGCAAAGACACTCACATGCAATGCGGACGTAGGCTTTCCGGCTTTTGGTGGTGCCTGCAGAGCTCCAGGCGACACACTGGCACCAGTAATCTTCGGGTCCAAAGAGCTCCTCAACTTGCTGGCGGGAGATCTCGATGCTTACCTCTCGGACAATCAGACCTGTCAGGGTACAGGTAACACTGGTCAAGGGCATGCTTACAGACAGAAAGAAAGAAAGAAGTGCAGGAACAGAAGTCTGCTTGCAAAACTGCTGTGAGATCTTACAGCTCTCTAGCAATATCTACTCAGCAACACCGACTGTCATAAAGGAAAAAAAGCAACACTTATCTGCATAATAGGGGAAGTAGGTGAATGAAAAACTAATCACTGCGATTTTGGCTTTTATCACATACTGCATGTATGTCAGACAAATAAGAGGAACAGCACCTCAGCTGACATAAATTGTACCATGTCCCTAGGATGATTTACATCAAGCGATGATCCAGCCCGGTTTTATTTTCATATGAATATCATAAAACCACAGAGTCATTCTATTTGTATGACTCCCTGAGCCCTTCCATATTTCATCTCCTTTTGCTAGACAGATCCAGTACAAGGGAGAATACGTGTTCACTCTGACACTGAACTGCCCAGGAAAATGGATTTTACCATTGCAGAAAATGTCCCAATACTCTGTAGCGATAGGCACATGTGCTGCAGTCCGGTTATTGCAAGCTGCCAGTTCAGGGACTATTACTGTCACATATACTGCACATATGGAGGTATTTTTTAGGTGACTTCGTAGCACAGCGCAATACACTTCAGTGCCTGACAGCATCCCCGGCTATGCCCTCCATAACACATTTTAGCACAACCCACAGTCGCACCAATGATGACGGTGACCCACGTGCTATCCTTCCAAGCAGACCGATATTTGCCCACATTTCCCACACAGTGCTCCCTGGGGGGAAGCTGTTCTGCTTCTTTTAAGTGCAAGGAAATATTGTGGTGTCTCAGGCACCGCTGCAAGGATCACTGGTAATGTGCTGATCCTCTAGTGACAGCCACTGTGATTCACGCTGACACAAGCCCTTTCCCTGCCTCATTAAAACGCTCCCACTTCCAGCCAAGATACTGGGTGGAGGTGGGAGAGAGCACTTACACCTCTTGTCAGTGTCTTTGGTCCGTGTCGCCAATGCCAAAGTATCAATGAACTCCTCATGTGTGTCTGCCTGTAGAAAACACCACTGCCATTTCAAAAATGCACTCTTGCAAACAGCTTTGAACATGTAAATTCACATACAAATATATCGCGTAGTGGGACTGATTTTCTTTTTCCTTCCAGAACCGACAGGAAACTCAACTGAAAGATCCTTGGATCACAGCGTGCACAGTTTGTCCCCTTCACCAAACACCAAAGGGCAGGTCCCTCTGCTGAGCGTGGACTTGAGCCCATGGAGGCCAGCTACCCTCAGTCTCCTGCCCCACGGCTCACAAGGTGATATTCATAACGTGAACGTTCCCAGCTGGACAGCCCTGGAAACCACGCCAGCCCTTTGATCTGCCTCCAGCCTCACAGAGGCTCCATTCAGGGAGCCAGCGATTAATTCCTGTTTGTACACACTTGGCCACTGTCACGGAGGCTGCGTGCTGTTTGCATCAAAACTTAACGGCAGAAAGGAATTCCTGCGTGTAATACCACAGGCTTCTCTGGTGGGAATGCCTTCTAATGAGATGCATTTTCCTGCTCAAGACTGTCACAGCCTAGCTCCCTTTTCATTTCATTATCTTTGACATCTTTAGCCATTGAATAATTAGCTGCTTTGGGGGAACACTTAACAGATTTCCTCCTTGAAATGAAATACTCCAAATACGGCAACCGCACTCCAAAGAATGGAAATCCAACTGGTGCATGGACATTTGATATGCAGTGAACACTGCCTTATAAACTTGTTCTGCTTTGATGAGCTAATTTGGCTCCAAAAGGGGTCAAAGGGATAGCTTTTGTCCTGTTGAGAAGAGCATGAAGAGGGTGGGGAGGGAGCATGTACATTACACGCATAGAAACGGCTATATTTTCCCAGTGCGACTGCTGCTAGCCTAACAATTAATTCAGTTCATTCCCAGTTTTTACAGTATTAGCCCAGGGAGTCTTTGAAGGTTCCAATATTATGTTTTCATAATAATGCTGATTATGACAGAGCGTGATGCAGCAGTGAACTTTGTTACTCGAGGGCTAAAGCAAGCAGGCTCATATCAACAGTACCGCTTAATAATGATTATGAAATAGTCTTAACATTCAGGACACAAATGCTGTTTTCTGATAGTCTGTTGAAGATACAAAACCATGTGATAAATAGCTCCCACTGAATGCACCAGCAGAATGCTTTATCTCTGACTTCCTGAGATGCTTTTTAATTCCAAGTAACAAGCCATTCAAGGTAATGTCTTTCGGGATGGCCACAAAGTACTGATAGGTTTCAGGTTATTCAAAGTAATTTGGCCTTTGATCTTTGAGTAATATCAACAGTTGTGCCATGACCAAAGAGATGCACACCCTCTTTGCATGCCAAACATATGCCGCCTCTTTCTGCCTACAGGCAAAAAAAATATCATTGTGTCTTTGTCTCTAAGGTAAACTATTTTTTCAAAATGTATCAAACCAGTTGGTGATGCCATGAGATTAACTGGGATGCAAGGATCCACAGCCAGAACTCAAAGCTGATTGAACCACTCCTTCCCAGCATCACCCATTGGCACCCCATTGCACAAACAGCCACATCAATTTAGAAGAAACATCTCCCCAGCTGAAATGCCCCCAGCCTCAGACTCTGGGGCAAGCGCCAAGGGATGCGTTTCCTTTCGTGTACCAACTCACAATCCTATTCCTCCCGCTAATACACTTTAGTGTAACCCCTAGTAGAAAATCCCTTTCCAGGCTGGATTACAAAACGTGCCATGTGTTGAGATACCTCAGATAGCAACTGCCTTGTTACCAGCTGACGTACTGCCACACATCAGATTGCACCGAGGAGATGGTACAGCCCGGCTGCTTTCCTTCAGGAGTGTATTGCTCATCCACCTCACCTGCACCATGTGCAGCACAACCCTGGTATGATGACTTTAAACAGATCTTATCCCTGTTGAAGCTGCTTCTACATAAAACAGCAGTAGATGGAGTCATTAACAAAAAAAAAAAAAAAAAAAAAGCCAAACAACCCATGTCTCAGTGTTTCCAGACAATGGGACATGCTGTGCCTGTAGTTCACGCAAGTGTTTATCAAACTGATTACAGGTGAGTGCAAAACCTCTGAATGTAAAATTAGAATTCACTTTATAAAATGAGTCTCTGTATTTTGCCTATGTATATTTAGGACAAAACAAATTAAGAGATTAGCAGTAATTTATGCAGCATACAACCTACCTGCTACTGGCCAATTCTACTTTGTCACAGTGCTAGGTAACAAAATGTCACCCTCTCACAGAAAATACCTCCTCTACTTTGCCTTATTAGAAATATACTGAATTTTTCAGTCTAGTTCCTCATTTGGCTAAGCTATACAGCAGGTGAAGATATGCAGCATAAATATTTTCTTACAACACTTGAGTAAACTGCATATTCCCAGAACTCACAGAATCACATAGGTGGTGGCATAATCCAGAAGAAGTCAGGATCTTCCGATTTTAAAGCAATGCAATAACAAACACAGCTGAAGGGACAGAAGAGAAATGGGGGCAGCTAGTATGCTTGACAGGTCCCTTCTAATGTGTATAAATCCATAAGGAGCATCCATACAGTATTTTTAACTTGTACTTTCCCTGTGATGAATAGCTAGAATATGACAGAGAAATGCATTTGCTTCCACTGTCCAAACGTGATTTGCATTCAACCAAGTGAGATCTGTTCCTGTAGCCTCTTGCAACCCATCTGGATCTTGAGTATGAAGACAGATATGTGAAGATACTGGGTCTAATTATCACTGTCCTATTTCTGGCAAGAAGATTGTGAAGAGAGGAGCTTTAAAATGAAAACGCAGAAAAACAAATTAATTTAAAGCAATTATTAAAAATAAATAGTAATTGTATCTTAAGATTGTTCACTGAAAAAAACCACAGAGCCTTAAAAATGCATCCCCAGGTTGCTGGGATCTTTCTGCACAAGTGTTTCTTTCTGATCTCGGCGAACAACTGCAACATGCCCAAGAGAGAAGCAATGGAGGAAGTTTTACAACTTGAGTAGGAGGAAGTAAGAAAATTTCAGGAAAAAAACAAAACAAAAAATATTTGCTGTCCTCTCTGGGTCCTGACTACACAGATCCGGATCTGCTGGGTTGTAAAAGCTGTCACAGAGGTTGCTCGAGGCTGGGGCTATTTATACCCACAGATTGGTCAGATTTAATACACCTACCTAAACGTGGCATCACAAAAATAAATTACGTTGGTGGAATTTCCCTAAAGAGAGGTCCAAAACCATAAGGAGACTAAAGGAGCCATTAGGAGACTAAATAAACTAGTTGAAGACAGCCTTTTCCCTGTAATAGTTTTCTGCTCAGCTGAGGACAGAGGATGAAGGCTCAGGGCATTTGGCATAATCAGTCTGCAATGATGCCCCAGTCCCACAAATTAAATAGGTTCTTCATGAGTGACTCTTTTACATATTTAGCAGCACAGCATATACAGTTAGTTATTTCAATAAAATAAATGTATCTCTGGGACTAACACAACTTGGGCTCTGAAAAGGAGTAGGAAGGAACTAGAACTTTACTTATTTCTGCATTTGCACATTAGTGAGGGATTAATGGGTGGAGAGAGGCAGAGGGAGCCTTGCTCAGGCTGCCTCCTGCTATTGTGTGCAGCCAAACGAGCACAGGAGAGAGGCACTGGCTGACGGGATATATAAAAAATAAAATTACTACTCCTCCTGGAGTAAAAGGAAGAGTAAGGAGGGAATTGTGCCTCACACGCATGGTCTTTGTTATAAACTCTATCCTAGAAACACAATCAAGCAAAGATGCACTTCATTCCCATGGTCCCCAAGTGCTTCACTTCGCTGGCTATACAAACTGCGAGGTCAATTAGCTGGTCTTCAGAGGCAGAAATGTTATCTTTTTTAATGTATGCAAATGAAATATAATTGTATGATATTACGGTAGATTATTAGCAACTGCAGAAATAACTCA